TGACTGTTCAAACAGTTCTTAGCCTCGGATACACTAACGTCTTTTTGTTTGCTGATGCTTCCTAATAGACGTAAACACATTCTAAATTCACCTCTTAGGATATTAAAAAAGAGAGAAATCAACAAGTGCGACATTAGAATATGGCTTCTTAGTAGTAGTAGTAGATTCATTTTACATAAAGAGCGTTTTCGGGGGGTTTGTGTAAAGCTTAAAAATTTCATTTAATTTATTCATTTTTTAACTAACTATAAAGACCTACTACCTATTTTGTATGCATGCGTTTAGCGTGCAGAAGGAAACTGTAACATACCAGCAACAAAATATATAATCAATGTATTCAAAGAATTATCGGAGTATTTCAGAAAGGGAGAATTTTACGAAAGTTGGAACGAAGGAGGAGATACGGTCTCGCACTTTCACTTTATAAACCAAACGTGTTATACAGTCAACAATGCATTGAAAGCTATCTTTTGAGCACCCAGAAAGGAGTTCAATACAATAGTTAACATGCCTCATGAGAGATTGTAGATAAACTTTATGAGAGCTTAAGATGAACTCTATGGGAGACAGTGCGCGATGCGGGGGCCAAAATATGTAAAAGCAAAAGTTGCTTTTAGACAAAGTCTTTTTCCACAAATTCTAAAAAGCTCTTAACCACGTTTCAAGCCAAAGGGAACTGATTTTCTGAAAAGCTTATAGGGGCTTTCCTTCGTAATGAAAAGAAGAGGGCAGTTATGGTTTTCTCAGTTATATCTTTATTGTACTTCAATATATCTCACATTACATATATATATATATATATATATATATATGTATATATATGTATATATATATATATATATATATATTTTTTTTTTTTTTATTATTTTTTTAAAGAACATATACATAAAGGTATGTATGCATTTACTTAAATACTGTAAGTTTTTTTTTTTTGTATATTTTTTCTATTTCCTTCTGGGAGTTCTTAAATAAAATCTTTACTTGTTAGATTATTTTCATATATGTATATGTTTGTATGTAGTATCTGCTTTTTGTTTTTTTAATTTCTGTTTACCAATATAATCAGCTTTGATTAAAGCGCAATATATACTACTTTAAATTTTTATATATATGCACTAACAATAAATTTTTCTTTTATTTTTTTTACTTAATCAATTTTTTTTTGTTTTTTTTTTTGGTTTCGCACACAGTCTACCATTTGGATTTGTTTGTTACTAAATATAACATTATGTTCTCTTTTTTTGTGATTGGACGTACACGCACACATACATACATATATATATATATATATATATATATATATATATATATATACGTTTGTATGTATTATCATCCAGTTAATTGCTGTCTCTGGAACGTTGGGGGACAGAATGAAAGAATAAATAATAAATGGTATGTTTTTTAAACAATTTTAATATGCTTTCGATTACAAGGGAGCGTTTAATAATTCATTTCTCTTACCCGCCCTTTCTCAATTTTTTTTGTTTTGTTTTGTTTTTCCATCTGTTATTTAACGCAACTAATTGAAGTGGACTTAAAAATATTTTTATTTTGATTTTAAAATCTCTTCATATTTTATTTAATAAACTACTTGCGTTCTTTTCTTTAGTACTATTTTGTATAAACTAAGACGTACGTGAATACTGCTTTCTTAATAATATTACATGAATAACAACAGTTTCTTTATTTGTTTATCTATTCTTACCTATTATTACTTTCTTTTTATATTCCTTTGTATATATGTATATTATTAAGTATTTGATTTTGCTTTTCAATGCTTGTTTCTATTTTTATGCATTTGTTTTGTTTTTTTAGCTGAATATCCCTCAGTATTTTTTTACATTTAAAAATGATTTTTTCTTTACTTCGTTTCATTTATTTTTTTGTAACTTTTTTCTTTTTTTACTTTTATGGATCATCATTTTGTGCACCAAGAGCGATCCGAATGTTTTACTTTTAAGTAACTTATTTCTTCGTTATTATACATCTACAATACACATACATAGTTTGTTTACATATACTTTATAAGTGCTTTTTTGTCTTTTTATTATAATTTCGGTGTTTTTTTTTTTTTTTTGTTTTTTCAAAATTTCTGTTGTTCTTTGTGTAAGAAAATAAAATTTATTGTTCAAATATCTAAATAACTGTAAATGAATTAAACGGTGGTTTCTGGTTTTAATAAACTGTGTATTTCCGGTGACTTATTTCCGTATAGTAATCTAAATCTACTTTGATTTAAGCGATGTTGTCTTACAGTTTAATATACTAAGCTTAACTAAAACGAACAAACGAACGAACGAACGAACGAACGAATGCATGAGTTGTGTATATTGTTTGTACAATGGATGACACGCTTTGCATCGTTTTCTTACCTAAGTTTTAAATATAGCGCTCTAGATGTTCGTACGTGTATGTGTGTGTGTGGGTTTTAGTGCCGAGGAAAGTTTTAACAGCCTAAAGTCAATGCGGGGCTCTCACCCCATTAAAATCCCCTCTACGTCTGACGGTAACCCACCAGCAAGTACCGAGGTAAGTATTATCTCGGACATATATGTTTGTGTGTATGCGCGTGTTATTCGTTTTTTGCTTTGATGTTTCGCTTAAACGTTACAAATTTATTTTCAAGAATTATTTATTCCACTTTAAAATGATTTTTATTGTATAAATTATTGAAGAATTGTCTTTAACAACCAGTAGTATATGTAGTTATTGTGTATTTCTTTTATATCAACTTAAATTTGTTTTTCTTTTCTCTATGCAAATGATTTATACATTTTTAAGCCTTGCGTGAATATTATGCGAATAATAAAAGTCGATGAAATTTAGGCGGAAGCTTGAGAGTTCATTAAGAATATATATATATATATATATATGTATTTTTTTTTTTGTTTTTTTTTTGTTTTTTTGTTTTAATTAGAAAACCTGTATACCGGTATTAAGTCATAATACTAATAAGAATGGAAAATCGTTCATCTGTAATACGATTTATACAAAATATTTCATATAATAATTCAACCAAAGAGTAATTTCCTTTCATATCTACAAGAAAAGCGTTATCCACGCGATAAATGATCCTTAAGATCACTTTAAAATTGTCTCTATATCTCCGAAGTAAGCTCTCCCTAAAGGATCCGTTAACTGCCTTCTCACTTCAAAGAATATTAACACACACGCACACACACACACACACATGTATATATATATGGCATCTATCTATCTAATAAATTTATATTTAAACGATATAATATCGTGGGCAGTTAGCTATGAGGAGATTATACTTAAAGAAGGAGACAACACATCGAGAGCAGTAATTACCACCTATACATATATATACATATATATGTATAAAAAAAGGGATATATTAAGAAAGAAAGGTCTTTCCGCGTTCAACATGAATGCTTACTTGACTTTACAAGAACCTACTTTCTATAAAGAAATACGTTCTTTGCCGTTTTCGGTAGGTTTAAGGCAAGTTCGTATGAAATTTTAGCAAGGCTGTTCGTTTCTTCAGCACCAAAGGTATACGCATCGTGCAGCAAACATTGCAACTAAAACAATGTCTTCTATCTATTCTTGCTTGTTTCGTCGTTCATCTTTGCAAAAGCTCAATCAAGTAGCATACGCCACTCTGACGATTTAAACAAGAGAAAAAACCCTAGCTTATGCTATTGCAAATGAATTATTTCCACAAAGAAGAAAAAGAAAGAAAAAAATTATTTTGCAGTTATAGGAACAATATTATATAAAAATAATCCAATATTACAAGAAAACAGTGTTTAATTTTTATTTGACTTTTACTCTAGGAAAAGAGAGTAAGTAGGGGAAAGAGATAGGATATTCAATATAGTCACTTAAGGTTTGGAAATAACTGCACATTCTCTGTTATAAAAATACTAAAAATATACGCGCATTACATACCTTAAGGTGCTTTAGTAAGGTAAGTAAGGTGTATCAAGGTATAAATATTTTTGCTAATTACTTTATATCAACAGTTTCTTATTCATATATTTTTTTTATTTTTTAATAATTTACTCTGTATCTAAGCATAAGTAATAACGTGAACCACAGAATTTGCTCGTTATTTATTTAAGCAAAAATAAATCTTTCTATGTTACTTCTAATTTTTACTATATTTTATATACTTTATTGTTTTTTAAATACTCTTTCCTTTTAGTTTTTTGTACCATTTTTCTAGAACACTGTTTTTTTTTTTTTTTTTTTTTTTTTTTTTTTTTTTCTTCTTTTTTTGTTTTTTTTTTTTTTTTTAATTTCTTTTTCATAATTTGTACTAACATTTAGAATTAGTAAGCACTCTTAGAAACTTTGAAGCAGAATTATTTAGACATATAAGTGTAAAACAAACAGATAACATAATTTAAAGAAATTTTCTTTAAAAGACTTTAATAATCTCCTAGATGTATATATACTTATGTAAATATATTCATATTATGTAATATAAAAAATGTTTAAAATTCTACTCACGGGTTTATTGTATTCTTGCTTACATACGAAGCAAAACGAAAATTTCTTTTCTTAGTCACATACAAATTGTTGCATACTATTTGGGGCTCAGGAGTTCAGTATGCACGAAATTTGTCTCTTTATTAAATAAATTCCATTTCTTTAGTTTCTCTTTAAGAAATTCTCATTTTGCATTTATTTAAAAGCACCTTAAGTTATGCAATTATAATTGTAATATTCTATAGACCTATAGCGAAATTTTTTATGATAATATAAACTATAAAATTCTAAATTAAGTCCAAAATAAAAACTCTCTCGCTCTTTAACGAAAATAGGACAAGGAGATGATGATAACAAAAAGACTAAATCTGAAGTTCACTGATTTATGAAAGTGTTCTTGCTGACTTAGGCAAGCTTTTACTAGCTACTCTATAATTTTACTTATGTATTTTTCATTTCTTGTTTTTCTTACCAACGGCATGGATTTTTAATAGAGTTTCCTATCCTTAAAACACAACAAAAAAAAAAAAAAAAAAAAAAAAAATTGGCTGCCCTTCACATTACAAAATGCTCTTCTCTTTTTGATCTGTCACACTTTCTTTGCTCGTTAGCTCATTGCTCGAAGCAGACTAACTCACATTTACTTTTAAATTCTAAAACTATATAAACAGTTGATAATAAGCTTAGTTTACCTTAATAGTTAATAGTTTTATCATAGTTGCAGTTATAATTCTATGAAATCAGCCAACATTTTTCATCATCTCAATATATCTTTTATATAATAATTTTCTTCATTTTATATATATATATTCAGCAATTAAATAACCTCTTATATGAATATATCCATGTGTGCTATTCATATATTAAAACGACCTTAAAGTAAATAATTTATAATGTCACTAAGTGCTATATAATGTAATTTTCTATTTTCTGGGATTTTATATCATTTCTTAAAGTTCTTACGTTTTAGTAGTTTATTGACCACGCTTTTAAAAAGATTGGGTTTTATTCATAAGTATCCGAGGGTGGCATAGGTCTTTACAAATGTGCCGTCACTCGTTGAGACATTTCTGTAGATGAATCTTGATTTTAAATTTCCATTTTTAACACAAAAAAAAAAAATCGATTCAATACGATTTGATACTTACTCATCTTCCCATGGGCACACTGTAGCCAAATCCGTATCATTTTTGGCACTTGCATCTTTAGAAGTAGCTGGTGCTGTTGCGGCTGCCGCTGCGGTAGAGGTTGTTGCTTTTTCTTTGTCTTTTTCCTTGTCTTCGGTAGAGGCAAATTTTTTACCGTCCATATGACGTTTCTTACGGCGCTTTTTCACCTCATCGTTACTATATTTAGGTGCGGGACACGCAGGAAATTTTAATGGTTTCATTAATATTGGTGGCGATGTTGGTATTGGTGGTGGTTCCTTAGGTTTTACTTCTTCACTTGGCTCGTCATCTACTGTATCGGTATCCATTTCGGCTAAAGGAGCCATAGTAGGAGCCGGTGTAGAGGCGGGTGCTATATATCCGGCTTCGGAAATACCTAGCTCATAATCATAAATATCCTTATCTTCGGCACCGAATTGCAAACCTTCTTGATATTCATCTGTAGTGGGCGACAACTCTTCTGGACCAGCAAAATATTCACTAGTATCTTCTAACGCAGAAAGATCTGGTTTTTGCGTGAATTCATTTACTACAGCTTCTGAAACATTACCGTCATCCACGTTCGTAGTTGCCTTTTCAGAACTATTATTAGAAGAGACCTCAGGGCTCTGGACTTTCATTAGTTCGTTCGTATCTTGCTGAAACTGTTCTTTGCTTAAAATATCTGCCCTTAAGTATTTCGGGGACTGGGATGAAGGTAATGTCAACTGACAGTCAATTTTGTCTCCACTTTCTTCTTCCACAACGTTAACAGCAGGAGCACTCACTTCTGCGACTTCTTGACTTTCGCATAATTTCTGATACCCCTCACTAGTTGTAGCCTCAAATAGCTCAATTTGAACCTCCTGCACCTCAGCATCGACTTCTGCTACGAACTGCTCTTCAGTTAATAGCAAATTTTCGCCACTACGCGTTTCTTTATCCCTACTTTCATTAAGTGGTGTTTGAATTTCTCTTAACTGATTTTGAACTTTCTCCTCGTCTGGTGGAGTAATTTTTGTAAGAAGTGGTGGCGTGGGAGTGGGTGGAGGTGTGGGTGTAGGTGTCGGTGTCGGCAGTACTGGCAGTTCGGAGGCCGATGACTCACTGTTCCGCTCCGAGATAGAGAGTTTATTCAATTCTTCCACCTCACCATCAGAAATAGAAGGTGGATCTTTACTAATATTGCCACCCGTATGGGTGACGACATTACCCAAAGTGGCTGCTGCAGCAGTGGCACCTTGCGCCACTTGTAATGGCTTAAATATAGTCGGAAATATCGCCAAATGTTGATTGCCGACAGTAGGTGAAGGCGTAGGAGAAATTTTGTTACTAGTGGACGGTTGTCCTAATGGAAACTCTGAAATGCGACTAATGAAGTAAAAAGTACGAATTGAGATTGCGTATTTGGTACATAAATGGTTAAGATTAACGTTCGTTTACCTCGGTGTAAAAGACACTGAGGCTCTTCGTTGTTCAGTTAAATGTGGCAATAAACGTTTCATGCTAGTCTCACCGCTGTCTACAGTGTTCTGGTGGCGCATAACCAAATTGCGTTGCACGCGGTCATTGGTTTCGCTGTTGTCAGAAGAAGTGCTAAATAAGTTTTGCAAGCAAAAAAATTTGAATACCAATAAAAAGGAACGCGTAAGGAAATCCCAGTTGATTGAATATACCTAGTTAGACGCTGAGCGTTTGCTTTGGGTAGAGGAGCATTTAATTCGTATTGCTGATCCCAAGGACAAACTGAAAGCTGCACAGAAGCCGGTGCAAGTAATTCCTTAACGGATTTGCTTGCTGGCGTCTGAGGGGCCGATAATTCCTCTGGCGTATCCCAGGGGCATACAGCACTGCTGGCAGCATTACAATCGCTTGCAGATTCCAAACGAGTGGTCTTTGGCTTGGGTGCCTCTCTAGTGTATTAAAAATAAATTCAATCAATATTAAATAATTGCTGATATTATTAATTAAACACACTTAAATTTTGCAAAGTATTTACAGTACACTGAGAAATAAATTTGTTCTTTTAATTTGCAAAGCAACTCGAAAATGTTGAAAAATGAAGCAAAATATGATATTTGCATATGCGTACATCATTATAAATAGCTTTAAATTCATAGTGTAGAAGATCAAAAAATAGACGTAGTGGAACAAAAGGTCAGGGAATTTACAACATCTAATCAGAAGAATCACTCAGACAAAATGAAGAAATCTCAGAAAAATGCTTTGTATAGATCACATGGGAGTTCTTAATCTTACTGGTAGGCAATTAAGTAATCAAGAAAATTCCCTCGGGCATCCACAGCGAACGTCTGTTGGGGGCTTTGTTGTTCTTGTTGTCGTTGCGGCGGAGACATATCTCCACGATAAACGCTGGTATCACTGCACGTATTGTGCAATTATATGTATATGTGTCAAACGAAAAGGGAAAACAATGACAAATTACGAAAAGAAAAATAAATAAATGATGTGACAACGGAACCGATTTAAAACTAATTCTTATTTGTTTTAATGAGAGAAACACGATATTGATGACCTACCTGTACGGAATTTCGCTGAGATTGCTCTGCGAATGCGAATGTGGCACTTTATTGGTAGCGTCTTTATTTACGCCTAAAACAGCCAATTCATGAGCTGAACCACTAAGACTACGATCACTGCCACGTCGCCTAGCCAAACTACCGGGCGGTGGCGGTGCTTGTATCATAGTCGCACTGCTTACACTGGCCGAAACCTTACTACTTTCATTGCCACCCGGCATCGCCTGACTGGACAAAGCGGCAGTCATTCTCTTCTTGGCTCCACCTACGCCACCAAAATTGAAGAAACGTTTTTTATGAGCCGGTTGTATGCCAGTCTCTAATAAGCGTTTGTAATGCTCAGAGCGAATAAAGCGTGGATAACAATCCTTTTTCAAAAGAAGCATATAAATATGTTCGGAGGCGGCATCAAAGGTGAAACGTGAAGGGTGGTCAAGGCCTTTCAATACACTTTCCATAGTCTTACCATCGATATTGATTTCACATGGAGCACCTGGCTTAAGAAATTCCCTATGAAACGTTAAGGGACTCGCTTTTATTACCCAAAATATATATGGACAATAAATAAACACTTACTCATATATCTCTTGGACCTTACGTGATACTTGAGAATGTGCTGAACGTCTAAGACGATTTACTGCTATCCAGAAACGAATGTTTTCATGAGAATATTCTTTTTCCAGAAATGTGGTAAACTCTTGAAGGCCCGTAGGATCCGATACTAATTCTTCTATCGATATTGCCCAACGTTTCACTCGCTTCTCTGTAGGTATGTCTACAAATGTGTTATTTAACTGCCAGAATGTAATGTCCTCTGTCACCCATGGATTGGAGGGTAAAACTGGCTGCAGAAAGAAATCGTATTCGATAAATGTTTCCGAGTAAGCTACCAGCGATTCACAGGCCTGTGACATCTTCATTCTAGTGCGATTTAACGATTTTCTTAAGTAATCAACTTCCCTCTGCACATCTTCAATGGTTTTCTTTTTATTCTGCTTTGTCCCTTGACGATCTCTGGATGGGACTGGACATGGTTCTAACGGAGTAAATTGACCCGGTGGCGGACGATGTACACGCCAATAGGCTCGCTCCTGCGAATCACCCACAATTTTTTCGCCTTTTTTGCGCTCCTTTGCCAACCGTACTTGCTCTTCAGCCTGCATTTTGATGATTTCCCATTTTCCTTTAAGATTTTTATGCAACGATGCTAAAGCTTCCATTTCATAGTCTTCCAATGCATGTCGCTGTTTATTTCGCATTGATCGCTTAACCAAATATATGGCATATTCAACATTATCAGGAGCTTTATGCTGCCATGGCCAATAGTAAGGCGTTTGAAAACGATACAAAGATGAATCATCTTTAACGGTTAACGTCTTGGTGTCATTGACGGGGAAGAAATAACCATGTAAGCATAATTGATTGGCGATATTTAATGCTTCTGACTCTTCAATTAAAAGGCGATCCATCAGCCATTCGATTAGATCATATCCTATAGGATGTAAAGTGTAATTAATTATTCCAAATAACGAGAGTGAAAGCATAATTGTAATAAAGCTTACCCATAAAAGCATAAGGAATCGAAGTTAAAAACATCTTCTGTTGACGCACTGGAACACCATGCTCAGGATCTTGCATCTCACGCACCAAGGACTCCATCTACAACAGACTTAGATAAATAAGTGCCCACTCACATTATTTAGATGTGGTGTAGAATAGCTTCAATGTGTCTTTAGTGTAGTATAAAATGGAAATACAGCCATAGTAAAAGCCAACTGTGATCCATATATAGGTAAATGTTTCACTCATTCATTGCGAATTATAAGTTTTCATTCCAAATTCAACTTTTTCCGAACATCACAACAATAACAACAACGATGACAATTAATTTTATCGCGCAGATGATCTCATATACAAAAGTCTGTGCGGCTCTTCACTATATTTAATAAGCTTCAACCATCATATGTTTTACTTAAGCTTTCAAAGGTGCGACTGGTCAAAGACGTTACGTTTTCTGTCGCTTCCCCTGTAATACCCAGAAATACTCATTATAACTTTCACAAAATCTTTATACCCTTAAAATCAGGTCCGGCTGCTTTTGAAATTTACAAAAACTCGTTTTTTTCGTAGTGCTCAGTGTGATGATTTAATTCGATTTGGATTCGCTGGTTTCCCGTTTCCCATTCTTTCAATTACGCTTTCCAACGTAAGAACATATGGTCGCCGAGATGGATGATTGCTTAACAGACATATTGCTACAAATCCTAGATATTACCTTTCGTTTATAGACTCTAACGTCGCTGAATGCGTCAGATACTGGGGCACTCTAAACAAGCTCTCCTTTCTAACAAACGCTTTTTATATATGCCGGTAAGTAGCTGAATAATTTTTTTTTTTTTTTTTTAAACAAACAGGTCAGTGTGACATGTTACTGGCTGCAAGAACATATCATTATTAGTATCCTCCGTCCTTCATGTGAATCAAATATTAGGTGCTTGCAAAAATTTTGGTCAGCAACTTCTACAGGTAAAACTGATAAGGAAATGGAAAATACCAGTGTACCAGTGTACATAACGAATAAATTCGATGGTTGTGATCTTTCTCTACCTAAAATAACAGCTTTTCATTCAGTATTAATGAGTTATTCAGCGTACGCGCACGCTAATCATAGCGGCAGTTTCATTGTTTGCCAGCCAAAAGAAGAAGACGAGTTGCAAAAATTTTTGCAAGCATCTAATATCTCTTATCAAAGCAAAGTACTCCTGTCAACTTTGCGAACCAGCTGAAGCAAAGCATTTAAAAGTTATGTACAAATGGGGCGCAGTATGGGCAAACTGTTTGCAAAACCCAGAAGAAAGCATCAGAGATCCCACAGAGTATACCTAGTCTTGATTAGCATCAAATTCTAAATCGATTTAAGCAAGTCCGTATGTCCGCTTGTCCGAATATAATTTTGGTACTTGTACAGTTTTGCCATTACGCCACAAAGTCGAATACATTGATTCTCGATATTTCTTGCAATCAATTATCTTGCACAGCCGCGAAAGGGATGTAATAAAAATTCGACTTAAATCGCATATGACTAACTCTTTGCTTGATTTTTATATCCACCACTAAAGGGGGTACGATTATTTTGTCAAAACATCTGCAACAAATAGAAGAAAGGAACGCTCAGAGACCCCATAAAATATATTTTTGATCAGTTTTAAATTCTTAATTTGTGTCTGTCTGTCTCTTTACGTTCGCTGACGGCAAAGATGAAGCTATGGATTTTAAATTTATTAGAAACACTAGTAGCCCCTGCGCGCAGTTTGGTATTGAAAATCGATCGAAGGACACGCACCCACTACATACTAGCATGGGAGCATCCATATTTGCTAGACCAAACAAAATTTGCCTTTTTGCTCGTTAGTAATATCATACAGATATAATCCAAAGAATTTGTGTGTACGTTTCATGGATGATGGTGTAGTACCTGTAGAAAAATGGGAAAAATTGCTCCCGTCCACCTAACCTTATATATTAACACTTATACTGTATATTGATGTTTAGATATTATATAGAAACTTAATAAATTTGTCAAAACGTCTGCACCATTTAGACGGAACATTCGTGGAACCCATAGAGTAAACATATTTGTGATGGCTATTAAATATTGAGTCCCCCTAGCCATGACTGCCGTCGTAAGAGATTCACTCACAACCGGATATCATTTTCTTTCCCTTTTTTCTGAGTTTTGTTTCTAAGGTTTCAGCTTGGATCTGTTCCCTTTTTACGGATATTTGATAAGTTGATCTAAACGTTACAATCAAAAAGTGTACATCCTCGCAAATTTAATATGCTCCTACTTCCCAACTGGTGTAGGGTATAAAAATAAATTAAACATTTCAGTGCAAAGATTCGAATAATTTTATCATAGCCACGAGTTAATCAACATTAGCCAACACTCCAGATAAAAGCTAAATATTCTTCTTAGTGTTTTTTTTTGGACATCTCTGTATACTCACACTCGTACCCAAGCCCATATCCATACTCATACTCATACTCATCTCAATGCAAACATCGTTATTATGGATCTCGTCAAAGCAAATTCAAATAATTGTATGAATAGCGGGCTTGAGACAGATTGACTAACCCATCCGGCTTTTTTTTACTTACAAATAGTTTAATTAAAGGAATTTAGTTAGAAAACAGGATTGATTTGACAGATGAACTTTTGAAATTCGTAAAAAGTGAACGAAGGACGGTGAAACTTATAAATAATGTAATATAACTATAAGAGTGCACGATGAGTCATGCAAGTTATCGGGAGGTTCGAAACATATCACCCTTTCGAACACATCAGTGCCAAAGTTTTCTATTTTACCTACTTGTTACTACTTTAAAATTTTTATACTTTGCTAAGCAATTAAAAGAAAATTTCCTAAACAACTTTACCTTTGCTTGAATCATCAGTTATAAAATATTTTCAAAGCACTTAAAGCAATTTTATTAAGAAAATATTATACGAGCTGAGAACAAAGACTTTTTCCAAATATATTTACTGCGACATTTTTTATAAAACATTTAATTGAAACGATGAATGGCTTGGTCTTTGCGCTTCTCTATTATTGTGGTAAGTGATTGCATGCTTTTAAACACGAAGAAAACGAAGAAAATAGTGTGGATCCGATTTTTAACTTCTTGAACTTATAGTAGTGATACTCATTGAGTCCAACGGCGTGTATGCATTGAAACGCATCAAACGCACCTCGGATTTTGTCAACAATTATAACAAAATTTCCGATGATTTTATTATTTTAAATCCCCGTTTCGTCGATAAATCGGAAGATAAAGACAATATAAGCATTGATACTGACTCTCAGAAGATAGGAAAAGGTGAGCAATGACCTAACAAATTCTTCCGCTAGAATATAAATTTTTTTTTTTTTTTTACAGAATTAGATAATTTATATGATGAAGTCATGGCAAGCTTCAACATAACTAAAGCTAAAGCCAAGGAGCGTGGTCACAATGGTCACAATCACGGACAAAATAAAATGCACAAAATTGCAAATAAGGAAAGTCGGTCAACTATTGCTGGTTTAGGCAAAAAGCATTCCATTGTGGCCCCTCTTGCTTATGTGCTAAGAGAAAGGGATCGCAAATTAAACGAGCGCCTTATGGCTAATAATCACAACTATATAGCTCATCCAGAGGATAGCGCCAAAGTTGTAATAATCAATAACTCTCCTAAGGATTTACAAAAATTGACTTTAGTTCCAAAAGGTAGTGTTTATAAATTTTCCAATATCGGTCGAAATTTTCTCTTAAGTTTTTGGGTTGTTTTCCTAAACAGGAATTGGTTCCATGTCTGAGGATTTAAAACATGGAGCTTTTACTGAGAATACTGATGCAGGTGAAATGGTAGATAATGTCGAGCCCATAGCTGGAGCACGCGATGTTATAGGCGCGCCCCGTATTATGCCACAAAGGACATTCCCAGTCTATCGTCCATATTCAATGAACCCCTTTGCACCAATGGAACAAATGTTCCGATTCGCAAATATGGTTTTGTACAAAGTAGCTAAAGGTGCCAGATAAGTGCATTTAAGTGCTTATCGACTTACAATTATTTTTTAACGCTCTTTCAGATTCGGGACCGATGCCGATTCATAGTCAGACTGCTTCACTTACTTTGACGCCAGCCAATCAACCTGAAGTGATTGCTGACGACTCGGACACGTTAGATTATTATTATAACACTATCGAAACGCCGTCATCCTCTCATTCAGTTGTAATGACACCACCTGTAGTTTTGCCTCCAGTTCCAATACAAAACAACGATCAACCCAATTCTGTTTTATATGGCCCGCCTTTCATATTCAAGCAACCCGTACCAGCTAGTGAACCGAAACAAGTACTTAATTTAGTTGAAAACGCTTTAGATACACTATCGGTAGCCACTGATGAAGATGACGGGGATAGCGACATCGAGCTACATTGTCCAATTCATCATGAAAAGAAAAGTATTGCGGGCGGCAATTGTATTGGGGAGAATTCATCCGATGGAGATGAAAACGGGATTATACAAGTCTGTTCTTGCCGTTTTATTAAAAACAAGAAATCAGACTTAGAGATATGAAGCGAAAAGACATAAGTCAGCTTAACAGTCAAAGAAATTTGTTTGATTTTCTTTGACATATATTTTCTTTATTTACGACATTTTTAAATAAAATGATTTATCATAGAAAATCGAAAGCTGAAATACTTGCCTTATCAAATGCCATGGGCCGTGACAATTTCTCTAGGGCCTGCTGGGATTGTTGGCTATTCGCACATTGCGCCATAGCCAAATGTGTACCGCTACCGCTCTGTTGGGATAATAAAGAAGGATTGGGGGCCGCTGCATGTTGATGCTGTGAGGTGTGACGTTGTTTTGTGGGCGTGTGTCCTGAAGAGATTGCACTGAACGTAGTAGCAACCTGTGTAGCAGCCGAATAAGTTGTGGCCGTACAAGCAAGAGCCGGATATGAGCTACTGGATACGGTAGTGGGTGGACTGGTGCTTCTCATAGAGTTTTCAATACTTAACTCAATATCCGGACGTTCCTTTAGTGTTAATTGTTTTACGATTACTTGACGGTCTCTCTCTGGCGGAAGCCCGCCAGGCGGCTCCATGACCCCAGCACGTATATACTATAGCGCTGTTGCCTGCGCCGCCCTAAGTCACCCAATTCGATGCACGTTTTTATATATATTTCGACTATAACCAATCGTTGTGCGAAAACAATTGAAGTGTCTAGGATATCGATTATATTGAGTTATACTGAAAAGCTCTTGTTGCAGATTTTCGAAATGGTATTATGGTCACAGCACAGTTATAGCGGAGAAAATGTGTTAGGCGTTTAGTAATGAAATTGTGAATTGACAATACTTCATGAATTTGAAAGTGACTGGTTCACAGTTCGTGCAGTCGCGCGATGCCTTTCTTGCCTGTTCACGCATAAATCTTGTATATACATTAGATTAACCGAGTTCCATCATGTCTTTGTGTATGAAAATATTCGCTGAAATTGAAAGAGATGTACACATCATCAAATTAGTCCGCTTAATTTAATAATTGTCTTCAATAGCTTTTCTTAAATTAATCGAATAACTCGCAGTTGAAAATTAATATTTGCTTACTAGTAACGCGTAACCGTTTACAAATTCAAATATTTACCAAAGTGAGGAAAGCGCACCAATATAACTTTTTATATTTGCCAATGTGTCTTTGCTAGGTTACAGTTCATCGCGAAGTAAAAGAAAATAATAAAATGACTATTAAAATTAAAAAATATTGGGGTGCAAGCATACATGAAGCCATGAACCTAAGCCTTTAATTACGATCGCAAGACCAATATGTACAGTTACAGTACAAACCGAGGCATTATTATTATTATTATTATTATTCAGAAGTATTGCGTAATACCAGATTTCAGGTACGTCTTGAAAACGCCAGAACCTCTCAGAAAAACCTAACTTTACTACAAAGCCCCTTTTTTTTGCACTGCCAAAATCGCCGCAAATACGCCCTCCCTTCAGACACAACACATTAAATTAATTGTAGAAATTTGCGTTTGGACATATCCCATTGTATGTAAACGTCTTTAAACAGTTGAACTATCAACCACTAAGCTGCTCGAAAGTTCTTTGCGAGTTTAAACTGGGTGTTTTTCCAATAACGTCAGGTCGTTTTTTGTCCTTGGCATCGAAACAATGGAACCCAAAACTAATAATTGGGGTATGATGGAGCAGCGTCACCATAAGCTTCTAAAAGTGTTTGATCGACTTCGGCTACCGGTTTCTTCAAACCAAACAGCAAAAGTGATGAATGTCGAAATTGCAATATTGAGGGTTTGTTGATTAGCGTCTGTGCGCACTGACTGGTATTTTATAAAGCGAAAGGCCAAAAACATCTCAGTCAATCGTTGTTTGTATTGATACATCGCATTACATTATCATTATCAAAAATAGATATCACTGATCAAAATATGCGCAAAATTCCATTAATTTAGTGTCTTATGTGCATAGGGAGGGCGTGTGTGGGGAGTTTTTGGCGATAATAAAGAAGGGATTCATTTGCCAATGAAGTTAGGTTTTTCCCGATAGGTTTTACCGTTCTTTGAATTCACTAAAATTGTTTACAACACACTTTGTACGTGGGAACTTTTCGTCAATAGTATAAAAACACTATACGGTGAATAGTGGTGAATAGTAGAATTGCTTTTTTTATTTTTTGTTACATCAAGTGTGGTTTTTTTTATTTATGTTTGAATTTCTATATTTGTTTAGTTTTTCGCAGTATATTTTTTACGCTTTCAATATCGTTCGGTTATAAACTGCCTTAGCAGCTACACGAAACACGGCTGAGGATAGCCGATCTTTTAGCAAAGACAAAAATGTGCGCTACGTAGAACGAGCTAATTTCACGCCAATAATTATTTGGCAATGAGTGGTAAGGGGAAAACAAATTTTACTCATAAAAATCCAAATATCAATAATATATCAATATCAATATCAATAAATAACGTCCATGGGTTCAGCTAGAGAGAATCGACTCAGGGACTCTGAAATCTTTTATTACTTCAACTCGGTGCAAGAGTTTTTCAATTATCGATATTAGACTTAAAAACGGTGAACACTAAAACGAGTGAAATAAATGCTTGCGACGGCACAATGCATAATGTTTCGACAGTAAGGAAAACAATGTGCGAAGAGAATAAGCAGACAGGTTACATCCCGGGTGTAGCAATAAAAATGCTTTCAGCAAAAGAGAGTCAATATTCGACCAAGTAGCGGCAGAAACTGCTGACCTTGGCGGCCAGAGCAATGAATTTATAATGAAGCAGGCGAAAATGCAAGAACAACAACAATAACAAATAACAATTAGACGATAAGAAAGAGGTAAAGCGGCAGGTACCGAAGTAATTCCGAGCGCTAATTACGCTGTTTTCGCGCTTCAAGAGTGCAACAACTCACTATTGTTCACCTACTTTAGGGATGAGATGAAATTTGTTTGTCAACATGGGTGAGTCAATCTCTCATGTAACTCGTCTGTACTTAACGATTTAAACAATTAACCGACTGTTTGAAAATTAATAACTTCTTCAAGGAAGTGAAAAGAGTCTGCGTAGTCAGTCGTTCAGAGCAATTGAAAGTGAAGTAAAAACTTTCTTTATGCATGTATGTGGTAATCTGCTATGTAAAGATATACAGAAATCAAAGTTAGTTGAAGAAAGATTCATTTACGGATTTCGAAGTAAACATGAAATTTTTAAATGGCGAATGCCATAAGAAAACACATTTCCTTGCTCTGAAGTTCTCTTTAATAAAGAAGCTTATTAGCATCTGGCAAATCGTTAGAGTTGGTCGATTTTATCTTTAGTTTTATTTGGAGGGAAAAACGCACGCCTCTCTCTGTGGCGGGCAATTCAAGATTTTTCTCTATCTTCAATTGAGAGGAGCTATCCTAAATTTGACGCCCATGTACAAGTAATGATCATTCATTCGAATATTATATCGTATATAATTATAAATGCAATGTTATAGAATTTCAAATTTTTTTATTCAAAAATTAATATAAGTATATATACACACTGTCCCTATATTCACTCTAAATTTATTTCTTTATCATATTGTTGTTAGTTAAGAGACGATCTGAGCGTCTATAGCATTTCATTGAATTGATATTGATTGGAGCGATATACAAACAGGCGGTAAAGAATGTAATTGTATACGGGGACAGAAGTGAGTACGTTAAATGCCCTATAAATAATTGTGAGGAGCGTAGCGTCAAAAGTCATCTACGCCTGCATATGCATACAGAGCAAAAATTTTAGTCAATAAAACGTCTCTACCGCAAAATAAAAGTATACTAATCTTTTCATTAGGCTTGTAACATTCGAAAATACATTTCATTAGCACGGATTGTAATCCGTTTTAGCCCGTTTTTTCCTTCCCATCCCCCCTTCGCTCGTCTCTTTTTGCTTTTCAAAACAGCAAGATTTCATTGAATAAATTGAAACTTAATAAGTCCCTGTTCTTAAACGCTTGCAGAAAATTAAATAAGAAAACGACAGCGATCATTTTTAAACACGATTATGATGACTTCAAAATTATTAGGGAAAAAAAACGAACCGACCTAAATCAAATCAATCAACCAAATATTTGAGTTGAAAGTCAAAGGAAAGTTCATTCGATTCACAAATAAATCGTGGCTTCTCTATGTGAAAACACTATCTTTAAGCTCTATGCACCAATGGTGTCGTATGGAACGGTACGTCACATGCTTTTTTTGGATATTTGGATACTGGTCGAGTTGTACGCTAGAAAAAAAAAAATTGCGTGACAAGTGATGAACAATAAATGCGTTACAACAGCTAGAACTCAAATAACCATAGCACATATTAGCCTAACCTAGTAAACCATGGCGGCCATCTTTGTAATGCAGTGTACTACGAATTTGCTCCATTTATATGAGACAATCATTAGGGAGGACTAGCAACAGCAATTGATGCTTTCGAACTGAAAATTTATGGAAAGTGTGATGATCGAAGTAAGTATATTGCAACATTTGATTAGGAAACGTTAGCAGCAACAGACTAGAACCAGTAAAAGTCCCCACGGCACTGCAGTGGACACTACAATATCTTATTGACAATCGGTTTCAATCGACTACTCGTTGTTTGTCGGAGGAGAGATTTGATCCTTATGTCAATGAAGAAAAAGTTGCTGACTACGTATTACATATTAAGCTTCAAGAGGACAAGTTGTGTTTTCGGCACTGCATTCACACTTTGTCAGAGAGATAGGAAAAAGTATAGCACTACTTTAAATTGATTATTTTTTCTATCATTCGTTTTCAAAACAATTTTTTTCATAAAAAAAATTGTTCAGAATTAATTTCCATACCTAACGCATGTCAAGTCATATTCGACAGCACTTCGTGAATACGAAAACTATGCAGACTAAAGAGAACAGTTGTGTACTTTACTTACAAATAAGTTTTTTGGCAATATTAAGTGGTCGAATTCAGCAGAAGACATAGAGGGAAAAACGCTTTGAAAAAAGTTTCGAAAAAATATAAGACGCCAGTCCACCGCTAAACTAAAAAAAATATACTGTTTCTCGATGGCTTTTCTCAGATTGCGCTTTGCTTTCGCGACGCATAAAGCGAAAGACATGTCCAGATGTTACAAGCTAAGTACAGTTAAGGACATGCAAAAACATTGAACGTGTTTCCGGATCTTTTCGATAATCTTTGTGTATTAATTTTCATTTGATTTAAATTAATTGTAATTTTCTTACTTACAATGTTTCATGGTTTTGCACTCTCTCTCTCTCTCTCACTCTCTTTCTTTCTTTCTTTCTTTCTTTCTCTCTCTCTCTTTCTCTCTCTCTTGCTTGCAGTGTAAGATCCCAAGTGATTACAATGTTAAATTTCTCTTCTAAAAATTGATAGTAATTTCAGAATTGAATGCTTGCTTATACAAGTTACGGTTCGGTATTGAATTGTCTCATTTATTTCTCGACGATGCGACTACCATTGGCACGCATATTTCGCCAATTATACTGCAAGATTTTGAAGAACCACATAAATAACTTATCCTTAATCAGTTAGTGATCCTTAAAAAATCGTATTATCTCTTAATGACGCTGTTTGTTTGCATTACGCAACGTGGGTAAATGTCGTTGTTTTAGTAGAAAACAACTTTTTTTTTTTCTTAAGAAGTTGATGTAGTTTTTGATTTCTTTTTTTCCTGTTAACTCGTAAGGTGCCGCCAAAGCAAGAAATTGCGTTACCGGTGATGATGTTACGCTGACTTATGCCTTTTAAAAGATTCCAAGTAATCTTGATCTATGTGCTGCTAGCTCTATTGATGGTAATATTTCCCATTAATTTTACCTTAAAGAGAAAAACAAAAAAGAAACTTTTCGTTACACTTTTATCAAAACCTGACAAACAAACAAACATCATATATCGCTAAAAACTAATTAAACAGCGTTTTGAAGAAAGTGTCAAACAGTAATAAGTGAAAGCTTTAGATGCATAATTTTCAATTTTATTACTTATATACAAAAACAACAATAATCTCAAAACAAGAGATCTCAGTTTCTCTACCTTCTACAATGATTAACGAGATATTGTATTCACCATCGATCCATACATCGATTCACTGGGCACTCCATATCTTCCAAATTCGCTCTTCTACAGCTACACGACAAGATGATAGATATATATACGTATATAGATACGTATTTATATATACGGCTGTCTGATCGTCTTGTGCTTCTTTTAAACTCATGCAAATTCTTTCGGCGCTTTAACATATCAACCTTTGTCGCTTAATCTCTATATTGTGCCGTCGCTAACGAAATTTACAAACTATTCAAGGTTGTTATGAAGAATTCGTTTCAACATTTTTATAATCTAAGCAGAAAACATCTTTCGAAAATATTCAAATACATTTGTCGAAATAGATATTGTGAAGAGTGAGAGGAACACTGTGCCAACAAAAGAGATTACTGCGAAAAATCGCGACGTAGTCAAGGATTAAGTATTTTTCCGACCAAGTTGTAGAGTGTTTAACGCTAAAATTTGAATTTATATTCACATCACTCATTGACTCTTAAAATAAGGTTCAACTATTAAAACTTGAAGCCGGGTTTTGAAAGCATGGACACTGAGCAATAACAAAAAAGCTGACAATTTTCGTTACTTAGTTATTGTAGCGACTTTAGGCAAAACGATTTCACTATTAAATAACATTGGTTCAAAGCATCAAACCAGCGCCTTAACGGCTACGGCTACGAAGTTCAATCAATCGTTATTTTGTTTCGAGTTGTTATGTATTTAAAAATACTTGCTTGCGATGTTATGGTTACAATAAAGTAAAAATAGCAACAATAGCAAAAATTAGACCGCGTGGTCTTGGGGGGGCTTACTTTTCAACTCCCATTTAAATGATTAGAAGTCCTCCGAAAAATAAATCAAGATGGTCCATACATAGCTCATTGAGGTTATGCACCAAATGGCTATGCGATTTCATCGTAGAATACTAAAATGTAAATCAAATTAATGGACATTTTTCAGAGATATTTTCATGGAAAGGAATTCAAAAAATGGCCTCAACTAATTCAATTCTTGCACATTCATGTAATAAATATGTCAAAATATTAGTTTGCATCGATCCTTATCGTGAAACATATCAAATAGATGAAAAGTTGTTTTGTGCAAGCACGCTCGGCCTGAACGAAAACAGTAGTCCCGCAACGATCAAAAGGTGATATACTGTAACGGCTTGATTAAATTGTTGTGAGCGATAATTGGTGGAACATTTGTGCTGCCTAAAATCAGGCAACGTAGTCCTTGCTAAGCAACAATTATTCGGTAGACATTAATAAGTGTCCTTGAGCATCAGTTTTGCGTTCGATTTTTCAAAAACAAATGTTAGTCAGTTAGTTATTTTATATTTTTCATCACATCGCTCTTCCCTGGCCTATAATTTTTTCTGTGCAAAATCGTCATTAGTTAATGTCTGAATTTTTCATTTTTTGTTTAATCGTTTAATGTAAACAAAACATTTACATTGTATTTCTTTAGTATGCATATTTTTTCTTTACTTATAGCCCGAATGAATGGCATTTAATGCAAAGTTTGCTCGTCTTATTCAATAAAAATTCCTGTCTATGTAAATAAGTAAATTATTGATCACAATAATAATAATAGTAATAATAAAATCGAATTTTCTCCTTTATTGTCTTCGTATAATTCAACCGCCTACTACTACTACTACTACTACTACTATTACTACTACTTACTACTGCAAAGAAATGTCAGTGCATAGCCATCTTAGTCTTCCGGTGGTACATAAACTATTTTTCTTCCATTTATTAAGACTAACCCTGCCACAATGTTAAGTATGAAAGTTCATATTAAATGTATGTTTATATGCGTTTATGTATTGTTGTTTTTGTTGACAATCAGATTAATAACTGTTGTCAGTTAAGTTGGTTAGCGTCGACCATCGCACATAAGAAAACGGATTACTATAAATCTCTTACGTAAACAAAACATTCACACGACCATTCTCAACGATCCAATTTATCACCCGCACTTTTATTATCTTTACTCTTCGACAGTTGTTGATGAAATCATTTCGTCTCATAAGTTGATTTTACTCCATGTACTCACATGTATCCACATATGTGCACATCTACTCGCAGGCACAGGCTCTATATCGTACCCCGTGAGTCATTTGCTATGAAATTTTGATTTTCATTTCACTTGTATAATAATAATCTTATAATACGCTCGCATGCAAGCACACGCGTTGGCGTACATAAAGTTTTTCTGCTCATCTCTCCTCCTTGTATTGTTTAGCTAACAAATGGTCTTTGAAAAAATAAATCAATTGCTTTTCCATAATATTTTTGCAATTTTTCCAATGATTTCCTTTTTAATTAAAAGTAAGTTTATGTTTATGCTTAACAATAATTTGTTATTGTTTTTCTTATTTATGTTATGTATCGCCAATCATATGATGTTTTATAGTATAGCAAATAACTATTGAACGCTCGATATATGTAAACATTTCTTACGCTTTATTGTTATTATTTTCATTTTCATATTCATTCCGTGTTTTCTATGCAGTATCTTTCCTTCTTCACTTTGATGTTCTAAGGAAATCTAATTATTTTCACCGGAAGCAAAGTTAATGCTTCAATTCCTCGAGATCATATAGAATAGGAAAATAAAAAAAAATAAAAAAAAAAAATGGAAAAACTTAGTACACCGTTAAACAGAAAAAATTCTGCTGGTTATAGCTATCAGGCCCAGATTAATTACAAGGCAAATACATTCATATATCATATATCACTCAAGATGTCTGCCTGCTTTCAAGCTGCACGCTCTAAATGTCGAGAAACCATCCAATTTCGCAATTATTCTTCTTTTTCTTTAATGGCTTATATCATGCCAACAATTCTTCTTGTATTTCAATTATCGATACCGCGTTTATTTGTTTATCTATCAATGCAAGTCAGTTACATTAAAATAACAGTCGACGAAAATAAACTCGTAAAAATAAATCTTAAGCTAGGACTGAAACCCTACATCGATGCAAACATTCCAAAAGCTTTGACAATCGATAATACATATTGCGATTAGAAGACCCGCATATCAATAAGAGTTAATTTGATAGTGCTTAAAGAACCCGATATTGAGATAAAAATGTCGGACTGAAACGGTTTGAAAATGGACTCGGACTTTTTACTTTATAAACCAAAAAAAAAAAAAAAATGAATTTGAGGATTAAAAGTGTGATCAGCATTAGATTAGACGATTAGCAACTTATATAAAGTCAAATATTTTATTGATATTAAGATCTCCAGGTATTTTCAAGATGTCCATGGGTTAGATGCTCCGAAAACTAATCTTCGAATATTAGGAAGGTTTTGGCATTCAGTAGGCATATGTTTGCCCTGAAGGTTCGGTTTATAATCGCAGATCGAGCGAGTAGATTTCTGAAAGATCCATTAACGTATTGCAAGGGTATGCCCAATCTTGATTGAGGCGGAACGAAATTAGGATTAACGTGCAAGTAGCGTGGATGGTAGTTCTGTCAATTTTTTAATTTGTTTCCTAATACAATGCGGAAGCTGCGCTCGCTCATTTTCCAACAGACCAATATGACTTGGTACCCAAAAAATATTAATTTTGTATCCGTATATGACAACGGTATTCTTCACTTTGTTAATCGTTTTCCAATTGAAATTTAAGTGGTCACGAATAGCCTTTACGATCGACAAACTATCTGGGGTGGTAACCGCTTTAAGTTTCGGTTGTAAATGTTGACGTACTTTCTTCTAGGTCGTGATTGATTTGGACATTTAATTTTGCTTTTTTTACTGCATAGGCAGACGACAGGTTATCACTCTTAGAACCGTTTGCGAAGAGAAGACGTCAACCACTAGTTTCTAAAAGGTCAGTTTTCTTTTCGATTAATTCTGACTGAATCTTATTTTACTCTTTTCGAGACACATTTAGGACAATGGTTGTTTCTTCTAAACGGATTACGGATTAATATCTTCTAATTCTTTTCGCAATAATAATAATTTTTAACATCTTCGTCGAGTTTTGAATTAAAAGAATTGGGCCATTTCGGACTGATTTTGGCTTTTAACCCGTGCACGCTGATTCCTAATGTTACATGGCCGGTCGCGACTCCAGTAACAATTAGCTGTAGCGACAAGGTGGAGAACAAAATGCAAAGTTGTTGTTTGGAAAACGGTTGCAAGAGAGGAATATAAGATGATAGGACAGTAAATTTGTTGTTCAAGTTTATTTCCGCAGCTGTAGCTTGTATACTGGAATTTAAATTCATGCGTCTGTGAGGAATGTTGCCTTTAATAAAAACGTCAATTCCCTTTGTTCAGAAGGAGTTCATCAGCGTTGATCAGCGTTCACTAAATATTCATTATAAGAACTTAATGGGCTCGGGGGATTAGTATTCGATGCTGTTATGGTTGAGGTAGAGTCGGTTTCTTCAGCTTTGCTATTCCGTGAACGGCAAAGCTTCACTTGAAAATTGAAGAGAAATTGCGGCGTCTTTCTAAACGTCAAGTTTTAAAGCAGCGCAATAGTACGTAAATTTCTGACAGGCTACGATACTTGCAAAATATCGCTAAACGCTGTAAGCGAATACATTACTGAGATGAAAACGGAGATACATTGTGTAAACGATGAACTTTAGATGCCAGCGACAGAAATGATAAACGTTGAAGGTAATACCCGTTCTTAATGCCAATTTTAGGGTATTTAAAGACCCACCCAATAATGACAAACATAAATGACATGATATAAAAGAAGGATTTATTTTTTATGATAGTCTTGAAGTGTCCAAA